TTACAGATTCCTGAAGATTTTGTTGTTCTTTCTATTTGGTGCCTTTGATTGTAGATTCGTGGAACTAAGTGCCTGGTTATTGATCCAAAGCTCAGTGGCTCCATTTCATTGATCATCCAGACGTCTTTGCTGAAGGTAATTACACGTTTTTCCTACTTATTTCATCTTGTGGAATAATTAGCTGTGGTGAGGAAATTCGTAAAATTGAAATGTAGAGAAAAGGAAGATCTTTTAAAGGTTGAGTTTGGTTTTAACATTAGCGTTGGTTTGATTTTATTTTTCTTTGCTTAATAGGAGCTTGGTTTGGAGTTACGACATCTTTCTGCAGAACCAGTTCAGACTGAATGCACAAAAGTGATTTATCTTGTTCGCACTCAACTCAGTTTTATGAAATTCATAGCTTCTCACATTCAAAATGATAATTCAAAAGCGATTCAAAGAGACTACTACGTTTACTTTGTCCCTCGTAGGTCAGTTGCATGTGAGAAGGTATGTGGTTATGGTCATCCTCCTATACAATGTCTGATTGTGTTTGCTTGTTTTACTACCTTTAAATAATGGATGATAATTATTTTATTCTGCTACTTTCAGATTCTAGAGCAGGAAAAAGTGCATAACCTGGTTACTGTGAAGGAGTTTCCTCTGTATATGGTTCCACTAGATGAGGATGTGATTTCATTTGAGCTTGAGTTCTCTGAAAAAGTGTGTAGAACTCTCATGGGTCCAATTCTTACTTATTACTTGATGTGCCTTTTTCCTTGAGGCCTTAAAATCAGAGGTTTCCTATGTATCTTGTTATATGGTTTTTGAATGATAGGACTGCCTTGTGGATGGGGATGTTAGCTCACTTTGGCATGTCGCAAAAGCCATACATGAGCATGAGCTTGAGGTTTGAATCTTTCTTTGTTCTGTATATAATGATCCACACAATACTATCTCATGACTAACTCTTCTCTTAGTTTTCTTTTGGAGTTATATCAAAAGTGAGGGCAAAGGGAAAAGCATCAGTTCGTGTTGCAGACATACTAAACCGCATGCAAGTGGAGGAACCCGTCAATACGAATGATGTAACTTTTGCCTAAAATTGATTGTTATAATAGTGACGCTGCTATCTTATATTTGTAGAAAATGCTTTGGTTTCCTCTTTCCACTATTTTAAATGATGTCTGTTCTATATTAGGTGGGAAGGCCTGAGTGGATACTCTCATTCTATTGGATAGAGAGGTAAGATTATCATGTGTATTCCTGTTATTTTAAATCCTTAAAGACAACAATGTCCATCAAGAATTGAATGTTAAAGAGTTCTGCCTGATGTGCACATTGAAAAAAAAATTGATATGACGCAAACAATTGATTTACTGCATATAAAGGTTAAGAGGTTGAATATTGTTACAATCCCACTTAACCTGGAATTCGGACTGGATGAGGGACCTTTAGAATGCATACTTGTGAACGATGTCTTCACATGCTGCTATCAGTTTCAACTTTTATTTTTCTCTTTCAGGTTGACATGGTTACTCCTATGTGCTCCCAATTAACTTATGAGGGCCTGATAGACGAGGTAATATACTGCAGTTTTGAGTTTGAGTAGAAGTAGCTTGAGTAGATTTTTCCCGCAGTGCACTTTTTTACTCTCTGAGGGAGTGATTCTGACTTTATGTATCATAGTTTTACTAGTAATTTCAGTTATATTGAGTGTTTTTGGTTACTCTTCTCATTATAAAATTTTACACAAGTGTGAGAGCCAAATTAATTTCTGCGGGTGTTCTCATTATCCTGCTACTTTTCTCAAATTTGGGGAAGATAAAGCAGTGGTGTAGAACTATTTGGTTTCATTGGCTGCAATGATTACCAACAACAATACAATTTGGATTTTAATTATGCTGGTTGATTGGATTTTCTATTAGCTGACTCCAACGTTTCTTTAAAGTTTTTGCATATCAGTAATGGAGCTGTCGAAGTTGACTCATCTGTGATGGGTGCTCAGCAGGAGGGAAGAAAGATGAAAGTTCCCCTTAATTCAAGGTTAGTTGTATAGCTCATATATAGATTCATTCAATCGTGTAAGACAAGTGGCTCTTTTTCTTCTATTTTACTAATGATTTGTGAGAGATACATGAAATGATTTACTTGGATGGGATAGGCACACATTTTTGTTACTAGTCCTTGTATTTATTGGTTATGCTCTTAAAAGAGGTTTCTAAACTGATAGCTAGATTAGACTTCCAAAGCTATGTGTTGTGTGTCTGTCTATTTCATTCCATAACTTTGTGTGGATGTATTCATGATGTTGATCTGAAAATGAAAATCTGTTAACTAGCCAACACTTCCAGTTGTAGGACACGTTTGAGTGTTAACTTTATTTCTTTAATTTTACAGTGATAAGTTGTTCAAGGAGACAAGGGATCTCAACTTTGAAGTCGTTGTACAGGTTGACCTTTAGCCTTTTGGCTTTCATTTTTTGTGACAAGGGATTCTATTTCCTTATCTTCCAGAGGCAGGTTTTACGTCAGAAGGCAATGTCTATGAAGGAGGACTACACTGAAATTAATTCTGTACGTTTGTCTCTCAGAGACTCTCTCTCTCTCTTCCTTTAGTAGTCTTGTTTATATGGTAGAAATTATGGTACATACATATTTATTTTCAAATTTTGTAGCCATCAATCATTTTATGCCTTAAGAGAACTAATGAAGAAGCAGGTTTGGTTGTTCTTGGCTTCCGTTTAGAATTAACTTCATTTCTTTTATTCTATGGTTAGGTTAGTTTGACATTCTAATGACTTCGTTGTACCTTTGTGGTTCCTGCAGGAACTGGCTGACAGTGAAACGGACACCGAAACTTATAGTTCAAGATACTGATACATCAAGGTAATCATTTTTTCCTTATGCTCCTACTGAGTACATGATATACTTCATTGATTTTGTTAATGTGATTAGGCTTATGAAGTAGGTCCAGATGTCTACTCCAGAAATATGGAAACTCGAATGCTAAATTTCCACTTGTATATTTGAAGATACCCCTCGTAATCTTTACTGCATGATCTGACAACAGCATTGGCTGAATGTTACATTTCAAATCTCTAATGAACTTGAAAGCTCTTTTTTGACTTGCAACTTTTGTTGATCTATGAGGACTTCCTCTATTTGTGATGCATGAACTAACATTATCATTTGTATATTCAGTTTTCATAGCATTACAAAATTGTTTTCTCGTTTGTAGTATGGGATCATCGGGTTTTTTTTTTCTTCATATGGTACATTTTTTTGCTTTCATTTTGTGTGTACATACATCGGATAATATTGATTTGCTAGGCCTTGCACCATCTTTTACAAGTCATGAAGTGGAGTGCTTAATTAAATAAGTTTTGAGTTGTGAGGAAAATAAATTTCTTGTGCAGGCCTAATGATATCTCTTATGTCTATTCTGGATATGCTCCTCTTAGCATTCGTCTTATCCAACAAGCTATTCATTCTGGATGGTTAGTTTGTTCTTGCATTTTATCTCAACATTTTTGCTTATGTGTAACACTTTGGCTTTCCTAAATAAGAAAATAACCATGAAGTAAAATAAAAACTGAGCATAAATGTCGGAACTTGAGAGAGCTTTTACTAATCTATACATGAATGTTGAAAGAATTGGTTTATTTGATGACTCCATCTACCTTACAAGCGACCTATGGAAGACATTTTGAAACTGTTACCTGGACCACATTTGGAAACTAAAAGAGTCAGTACAGTTTCTCCTTTTCCTAATTTAGAGAGATAAAAATGAAAAGGCTTCCATAATTGTTATGCTTCTCTTGCAAATATGTATATCTCTGTATACCTTCTCAGTACATATTCGATTGCAAATATGTATATCTCTGTATACCTTCTCTGTGCAGAGTGGACTCCCAAGTAGTCCATCAGTTGATTCACTGCATGGAGATTCAAATGGGCAAGTTTCTCATACAATTAGTTTACTGCCACAAAATGTAGTTTCTTCAAGACGTTAAGACATTGAACTGTTTTAATGGTGAGAAACCATTACAGGGTTGCTGATGGTAGATGCTCAATCGTTCTTGTTGTCTTCATTGGAGGTGTAACATTTGCCGAGATCTCTGCTCTGCGGTATCTTGCCTCTAAGGTAATATGCAAACTTCAAGTGTTTATAGTTAAAAGACAACTCTTTTTTGTCCGCTGAATCCTCCATTCTTTTGTCTGCATAATTATTTATCAGGAAGGAATGGCTTATGATTTGATTATTGCTACGACTAAAAATCGTCAATGGTGCAACATTGATAGAGACATTCATGGAAAAACTAGGCTGATTCATAACAGGTCATTATGTTTCGTATTTTCTCTTCTGAGCCTGTGTTTATTTATATATTTTTTGTTTCTCGTTGTTTGCCTTCTGGATCATTTTGGTTGCAGACTGAGAATAGTATTCGAATGTTGTAGAGTGTTCCAGTTTTTACTTTTTGGAGTGAGATATAACACGATCTTCTTGTACAAAATCAATGATGTTTTCTTGATACATCTTTCATAATTAAATAGACAAACATTTGTTTTATATTACATGTGTAAAAAATATTATCTCAAACGACAATGTTAGGAACTAAAAAACGACAATGTTACAAGGCATCATTACACAACTATTAATACAGAATCTCATCACCACCGAACGTGACAGTAAATACTGTTAGAATTTGGACATGAAAAGTCGCATTTTGTCCATTTTCAGACCAAATATTAAAAAAAAACAAAAAAAAAAATAATAATAATAATAATGTTGTCGTTTCTAAGTTTATATCTAAGCATTGAATTTTTATTCATGTTTATTGTGTATTTTTAATTATACTGATTGCCTTAATTATAAATTTGTACGAGTATATTATCAAGGTTAACCAAGTCAATAATAAGAGAAATCTATTGGCATTTGAAATAATCAAAAGTCAAAACCTTTGGCCACGAGAGCTCAGAGTAGGTCTAGTTCCGCGTGTAAAGAATAATCTCATGTGCAGTGCAATGAGCGTTTGTATGGCTCTCGACCTGTTCTAGTCCTCTTTGAACTGGTTAACAATAATATATGTATTGATAATTTCAGGTAAGCTTTACTCTTCTCTTCTTCTGATGGAATCACATAGAATCCCACTCTTATAAGTGTTGATGGTTCATTGCTAAATCTAACTTGGGCTTCCACTTTTGAGGTTCGTAATATATTCCCCAGTATCATTCAACCTCAAATCTTCACATTATACAACACGCTTGACAGATAGAGAAATATTGTTGTTAAAACATTACATTTAAAAGTATGAAACGATTAGTTGTCCAGAAACAGGTTTTTTCTGTTGCTTTCCCTGAAGATGAGATGGATGATTCAATCATGACGGAGGAGTAGGACGAGGTAGCCTTTTGCCAATTTCCTATCAGACAATGTACACTCCAAACAAGTTAAATCCATATACACCAAAAACTATTTCAAAATAACTGTTATAAGGCTCATTTTCAACAAGTTATAAAACTGAACCCTGGAAGAAAAGGATAAGAAAACACAATCATTAACCAAAGATCTCACTGGCTATCACATTTTCATCCTCCAAATCCAAGTTAATGACAGAAACGGATCACAAGAGCTCAATAAATGCAGATAACAAGACAATCATCATAATCCAGAGGCAATAGAGAAATGCATACCTCAAACAGTTGATTTATGTTATCTGCTGTCTTGGCTGACGTCTCAATAAAGAACATTCCGTTCTTCTCTGCAAGCTCCATCCCATCCTGTTAAGAGAAGATGTGGTTTGCGCTGAAGAAGCATATGACAACAAAATGTTCTACTGAATCTGGTTGAAGAAGTTTATGCAAACTCACCTCGGTTGGTACGTCTCTTTTTTCATGTAAATCAGCTTTGTTACCAACCAAAGCCATTACAATATCTGGGCTTCCGTGCTTTTGCAGTTCCTGTCAGATTTAAGGGTCGGCGTAAGCAAAAACACTAGATTCAATATAACTTTAATAAATTTCCTACACGGAGTTGCAAGTTATTAGGAGAAAAATGTCAGTAAGATATCCTGGTAATATCTATTTTGAGTAAGAAAACTGTGTGATATTGGAATATTTTGTTTCCTCTGAGTGGCTGTCATAAAGATGGCAAGTCACTCAGTAACAAGATAGATGCCAAGTTGGAGGAATATGGGTAAATCAATGTTTCAATCATATGGGTCCAAGGACAGCAAATAGGTTTTTTACTCTTTCTATGGTTATAAAATTTTCCGCAAGTAAAATTTCAGTCATAATAGAGAAATAGCTCAGAAGCTATTGCACAAATCCTAAGAACATAAAGAAAATGGAACATACCTTAACCCAATACTCTCCACGATAGTATAGTGGTGCAAGAGCAGAATACCTATAAAATGAAGTGAATACAGATTAGTCCTAGTAAGCAGGCAAAGCGTTTATCTAACAAATAAACTAAGCCAGAAAAGAAAAAAAATCATCTTTGTAAAGAATTTAACACCTTTCTTGGCCAGCTGTATCCCATATTTCAAACTTCACTGTGGTAGAGATTGTTTGGGACAGGAACGAGGCTCCGACAGTTAACTGATACATAGTAGTTTTGAGATTCAATGCAGATAAGAGTACAGTAAAAGTCGTATATAGCAAGGTTTTACATACAAACCAAGACACAAACTTACTGATATACATAAAGACAAAGAAACAGAGAGTTAGGCTAACGAACCTGGATGAGATCATTTCCATCAAAAGGTGGTTTCCCACTAAGAAGCTGAAGAAAAATCGAATCAGCCTGAAACATCAATGACACAATGTGAAGGTAAATTGAAAGGTAAATTCCAGAATGAAGGAAGCTTTTTTAAGTTACCTGAGTGTAATATTTACCACGCTGAAAAGGTTTGTAAGTAGAGCCACCACGAGATTGAGATGCTCCACCAGATCTTCCAACAGACTTTCCACCAAACCGTCGTCCATGAGATGAGGGGGGAGGTAAGTGGGGAGGTGGAGGAGGAGGAGGATCAGTGGGGAATTTGGGATGATTCTTAATATCAAACAGGTGGTCGACATTATGTTGAATAAGTTTGTACAGTTTAATTTTGTCTGTGCAGCGCAAATCTCGAAGCTTAGTTCCAGCAGAACCAGCCTGGTAGATAATCAGCGTTTTGAAACCGGCGTTATAAACTTGCTCCAGCCAAAAGTTGTAAAAAGAATCGGAAGTTAAGACAACGACCACTCCACGTCTGCCAGCTCTTGCTAGTGTCTCATACCAACCAGCCAAATATTTCGCAATCACAGTATCCGCAGCATCTTTCCCAGAAGAACCGACTACTATTAATTGGATGCCCAAATTACGCAACTCCCTTCGTACCCGTGCAGAGATCCTATCACCGGTAGCCATTCCAACAACTGGAAGGATTTTGTATCTGCCTCGAAAGTTATAGCTACGAATAAAGTTCATTACGTAGTAGAATTCGGTTCCCGCAGACATATCCGCCGGAACTTTTGAGGATTCTGAGTCAACTAAAATCAAAATATCCTACAAGAAAGAAGAAAACTAAAGATGAGATAAACCCTAAATCAAGGCATCAAGGCGATGGAGAATCAAAAATGAATCGGGTAAACCTACATCGTCGTTGCCAACGACGCCGCCGAGAGCCATTAGGTCGTGATCAATGTTAGGTCTTTGTTAGGTATTTGGGAGCGTAGTGTATTTGTGAATTTGAGAGCGTAGTGTAGTGTATTTGAGAGCGTAGTCTCGCTAATATAATCTCCCTGGGCAATGTGTGTGTATTTGAGAGCGAGTTAAAATCTTCAATTTTTTAAAAAAAGGTTTTGAACCAAGAAAAATATCTAAAACTAAAATCTTTGAAAGAAAAAAAAATTAAATAAATATTAAATAATATAATGGCTAATCCTTCTGACCTCAAGATTCACCGGTAGAGGTTGGCCTCTTCTCATGCCAAGATTCACCGGTAGAGGTTGGCCACCGTAAGCCACCGGTTTGAAAGAGGCTGCCCATGCCAAGATTCACCGGTAGAGGTGGGCCACCGTAAGCCACCGGTTCGAAAGAGGCTGCCCATACCAAGATTCACCGGTAGAGGTTGGCCACCGTAAGCCACCGGTTTGAAAGAGGCTGCCCATGTGGCCATGTCAAGATTAACCGGTAGAGGTTGGCCACCGCAAACCATCGGATTGAAAAGTTTTGTTCAATAGACTAAGATGGGAAAACAAACCAACCAAAAGAGAGAGAGAGAGAGAGAGAGAGAAAAAAAAAAAAAAAATCCTTAGCACACAAGAAGTCATTTTATTATTTTGTTCAATGGATGAGAAGTACATGATGAGGAGGTCTGTTTATAAAGAAAAATATTGGGGTAAGGGTAGGTGAGAGATGTAGTCTATTCCGCTTTCACGCGTCGGTCAATATCTTACCTAAAATGTCCCTCTGTTTTATTAATAATTAAGAGGATTAATAGGTTGTCAACTTAAAAGATTGATTCAAACTTTACTTAAAAAAATGAAAAATAATTATAAAAAAAAAAAAAAGATTGATACATATCCCCGATTTTACGTCCTCGCCAAAGGCATCTTTTTATACTATTATTTTTAGCTAAAGATTATTCTTTTTTATTAAGATTTACTAGGTGTTAATAATACCTAAAATATTGCCACGGATTCAACAACTTTTGCTTAAAAAGAGGAGATACAATGGAAACTCCCGAGTTTTACTGTCATTACTTTTACTTATAACATTTTGTTTCTGATTTTAATTTATCAATTTATTTATTAAAGATTAATTCAAAACTCATGAAATCCTAACTCTGTTTTCTTTTTTATTTTAATGGGAAAATGCAACATCTTCTTCCTTTCTAGTAACACGTACCACTTAAAGCAATCATCTACTTTTCTAAAGTAAAAAATCTTCTTTCTCCTTCTTCTTTCTCCTATACACTACCAAAAAATAAAAATAAAGTAAAATCTTCTTTTCAAGTAACAGAATCAAAACTCTGTAAACTCTTAATTCTGTTTTCTTTCTTCTTTTAATGGAAAAAGTAACGTATTCTTCTTCTCGTCTCCGACTAGTAACACCCATAATTAAAGTTAAATTATAGTCGATGTTATAACTTAACGTGATTTACAATAAAAATGATGTAGCTACAAGAATTTGCAAACTGTTGATTTTTATGTGAAAATGTAGCTACAAGAATCTGCAAACTGATATAATTAATGAATTTGATGTAGATATATGAGTTATCAGTTTCATGATCAAAACAAGTGATTGGTCTTTCATGTGCTTTTAAAAGTCGCAGAATATATTATTAAAAATTAATTACAATAATAATAATAATATTTATTACAAATTTATCAATTAAGTTAAATAATACTAACTTTTTTTTTGTAAGACAGTTATTTTAAGATTATTTTTGTGACATAATAATTACAAAACTATATAACGTACGTTTCATAGCATATTTTAAAATTGTATCCTTTTCAAATCTACGCCTATAAATATCTTCTGTATTTTGAATGAAAATAAAACCCGTAAATTTTTTTAAAAAAAACCATCTTTATCTTAAAATAACTAAAAAAATTAATCACAAACAATACTTATTTCTAATTTAAATTATTTTCTCTTATATATTTTAAATTTAACTAGGTTTTAACCCGCGGGTCGATTGTTTTGACTAAAAAATATATATATTTAAGTTATATTTGTTAATTTTATTATCTTTTTAGTGTTTAAGATTGTGTAATTGTATTTTTGATTGTTATTTTTATTACTTAACTCGCGGAATATTGTTTTGAAACTGGCGAGACTAAAAAAATCATGTTTAAGTTATATTTGTTATTTTTTTTGTTATGTTAACCCGTAAGATAACACGTAAGAAAAACATAAAACTCAAACCCATTAAATCATATTTATGTAAAATATAAATCATGAATGTTTTATAGATTTTGAGAGAGATTTTGGTTTTTGTTTTCTAAAAACTCATTTTTAACCAATCAAGATTTTAAAATTTTGGATTCCCTAAAATTTAGTAAAACTTTTTTGTTGTAATCTTTCATTCAAGATTTTGGATTTTTAAGTTTCATATTAGTCATATTTATAATGGTTCCGAACCATTGTCTAAAATTTTCTACCCGATGTGGGACGTTATACATATATGTTTTTTCTTTTATCGATTGAGTAATATACGTCCGTTTTAAAAAATTCAAATTGCTACATATGCGAAAAATAATTTGTATTTTTATTATACTTATGTTTTATGTAATAATTTAAATTTTAAAACAAATAAGATCATATAAAGATATTGGAGAGATATTCAATTTATTAGGGAGACATTTTAGGAAATTTTGTTAAATGTAATAAATATTAGTTTATAATTTTGCGATTCTGGTGTAATTTAATTACAAATTTTATCTTAAAAGTTTGTTATTTATTTAAATGGCAAGGATTAATTATGCAAATAATATAAAATAAAAGGTTATTTTCCAAAAGGTACTTCAAAATTGTTAATATAGATTTTGAGTTACTAAGCTTTATCTTTTAGTTTAAATCAAGAAAGAATTGTTATCATACATACACATATATGTTAAAAAATAAAACAAACATATATATATATATATATTAAAAGGGATAAAAATATATTTGATTAACAGGTACAAGCTTTATGTGAAAGTCATGGATAACACAAGCCAGATCAAACTCATGTACTTTTCTATTCACCAAAAAAAAAAAAAACTCATGTACTTTTCTATACTGCGGCAGTTGACATTGTCCCTGAGTCCTAGATAGATGGTTCATATGATGTCGTTATAATATAATTATCGTGTTTCTGTTATAAAACATATAGTGGCTGATATAAAGATTAGGTTTTCTTCTTTTAAGCGATGAGAGTCGAGAAGATTCAACTCCTTTATCTAAATGTTTGTTAGATGTTAAAGATGATGTTTCTTATAAGTCATCAATAACAAAATGCGTATGCTTGGAACCGGTTACAAAGGACGATGGCTTGACTAAACTAAGGAGGGGTTATTGGATCATTGATTTCGATGGATTTGGAAATCCAAACAAAAATTTTATGTTATTCAATCATTGATTTTAAAATAACTATCAAAATCATGTGTTATTGGTTGTATGATTTTTAAATACTAGTTAAAATCTTTTGTTATTCGTTTAGTGATTTGTTTTTGGATTTTAAAATCCGCAGTATGTTTTAAATGGATTTGAAAGGATTTGATAGTGTAAAATAGAAGGATTCAAATCCAAGGATAAAACATGTTATTTCAAAATCCATGTATTTTGATTTTATAAATAATAAGGATTTACAAATTCTAGGTGGATTTACAAATCCATAAACCAATAACTCCCATAAGATTAGTCAACGTTTTTTTTTTATATGATAAACCTTATCGGCTGATCTGGTAAGTCTCAGTAAAAACGCACCAAAGTGTTTCAGAGTGCACTACTCCTCGAAGGGCCATCACATTGTCTATCTCGAGTTTGTAATGCTTTCCGACTAATGCTAGGGGTAGTCAGGCCGCCTGTATTTATGACTATCAGGTAAACTAACTATGATTGGCCCAATTGACAGACTTTCCACACAACAATAATTTTTCTTTCTAGGATGGATCGAATATGGGTAAATTCCTTCCAATTTTTCCTCAATTTTTTCTTACCACTTGACCACGACTGTGTGGACAGATTAGTCAATGTTGAGATTAAAAAAACAAAAATTCTGATGAAAAGGAAGGCTTATTTGAATGATAGCCATAGGAGCAACGTTTTGTGGTGACTATAACTATATATGTTATTGTTAATTTTCTTTTTATTTTGTGTAAAAGGTTTATATTGATTATCCATATAATATATGATTTAGGCATGTTTCCTCCCTCTCTTTTTTCTTTTGGTAAAGGAGAACAAGCCTTCTCCATTTATTCCAAAAACAATAAAAAATTACAACCAAACATGTCGTGGGAGCACAGTCCCTTCCGCGTCTTCCAACAAAATCGAGTTCAACTCATTACGACATAAATCCAAACTATGAAAACCCAAAGACAAAAAAAAGCGGACTATCCAATCCCTTGAAACGAAACCATAGTACCACAAACGTACTAGAAAGGACAACGGGTGCGAATCCTCGATCCTTTTCCTTAAAAACCCCACAACTAACTCAGAATCAATCTCCACCTCCAAACAAGTCACTCTTCACTCCCAAACCATGTACAGTTCATAAAAGCGCAAACCCGACACACCAATTACCGTTATCATCTCTTATAACACCTCCAACAGAAGCTAAACCCGAGTTACCTCTACAAACGCTATTAGTGTTCAGCTTTAAACCATCCAAGTATCCAACAGCTGGCAACTTCCATGAAATTAGTCTCTCAACCCTCGCAGTCCTCTTTTCAGCATGTTTCGGTCAGAAGTTTATACGATTTCACAATTATATGCATAATTGATAGTATATTGCTCAGTTATATCACACACGAATTAGAATTTTTACGAATTTAACACCCCAAAATATAATATATTGTTAAGATTATATAATAGTACATGCTAACTCTGTTTAGAAATCCGTTATTATTTAATAATTTATTTAAAATCGTATAACTCTTCTAATTCTGCGCAACAAATCTAATTGAATAAATAAATAGTTAAGATGTTGTGCAATATTTAATTTCTCAATTCTAATTTTTGCAAAAATTAAACAAAAAAAACAAGACTATACTCGCATTATTCTCGGTAAACTTAATTGATTTTTTTTCATATTGAATTTGTTTTGGCTCTAAATATTGGTTGATGAGGCGGTAAGTTTTTAATTTTAAAATATTAAAAAGAGTTATTTGCTTAGACTATGTTAATTGATTTATTGTGTCTTTTAGGGCACAGGTATTGAGAGGCTAGGCCGCTAGGATCAATCCTGATGAGTCAATGAAAATCTAATACTACCTTCCAAGTTTTGTATAAACTCCGATTCAATTAAAGCGACCACTCATGCGTTTGGTATTAAAATATTGTCTCAGACAGTGATTACTAATGCCAATCCAAGAAATGAGATCCTTTTCAACAATTTTCCTCCTTAATTTGCATACATTAATAATATATGTGTGTATATGTCGTATGTATCAGTAGCCATAGAACTAATTAAGACATATGTACCTTAACTTAAATAAACACAAAATCTATAGAACTCAATTACCTTCTCGTAGAACATGTACATATACTATTTAATGTTATACTTATCTTTTGGGATATGAAATCCCTAACATATAGTAGTATGGACCAATAGATACAGT